GGAAATATATCTACTACAATAGGTGGTAGACTGATATGTATAGCCATATATCTCATATCTTAATATTGATCATATAATATTATATACTTACTCTATCAATAAAGATCATGAGAAGTGTCTCACCTTAACATCAAAAAAAAAATAATTGAACTTAAAAAATTATTAAAAAAATATAAAAAACTGAAAAATCAATTATTTATAAGGTTTCTAATAATTCAATTTGATTTAATTCTTGATTTTCAGATTTATATTAAATTTAATATATGGATTATAACTATTATTATTTTTAATTATATTTTGAATCCATATACTGTAAGTCTATACAAGACTATTCAATTCTAATTTTAAAATTATACTATAAAATTTGTTATATTAATTGAAATTATTTATTTTTATAGAAATTAAATTAAAAACTTTATTTTATATAATTTTTTCTATTTTGATCTGTTTTTAACTTGCAATTATAAAAAAACTAGATATTATATTTTTTTATAACCTAGCTTGATTTAATTAGGATTTAGATATTTTAACTTTTTATATATAGGAAAACTAATAAATCTATATATAAACATAATTTATGTATATAGTACTCTAATAGCCTTCAAAATCAAACTACTTTCAAAAACTCTTCCAACTTGTTTTATACTCTGACAATTATGCCCTAACCAATATCCAGATACTCTTTGTCCATGATGCGAGTTTCATACTAAAGATATTCAACATGTTTTTAAATACTCAGAAGCATTACAAGCAACTGAACAAATTATTAAAACTATTAACCAGACTCTCTATTCAGACAATAATCACAAATCAATCTTATATATATGGCAAGTCATTGAATTGTCATATAGAGTCACAGATAAAATCTTCTTCATTTCAACCTCTACCAACTGGATCAAGGCAGCAATAGAATCTTTAACTTTGTTATATAATCTAATTTTAAAACCATATTGCTTTACAACCAGCACCTCATTCCTTACTGGAATCAAGTGGAACCATACTATATATAATTCAATTAACTTCACTAACCCAAAAATTAAAAAAACCCTACAAATCAAGGACAACCCCAACAACTCACAAGACAACACTATCATTGATTTATCTTCTATTATTGCTAACTTATTTATCCAATCTAAATATAATTATTCCAAATTATTTATAGTTTAACAACTCTATCTGCTAATTTCAATTCTATTTCTCCTAATACTGAGTAGGTATTCATAGCTGCTTGGTGCCATCCAGCAAGTTATATTGTTTTAAACTTTTTTTTCAATATTAGTCATATGGTTACTGTAGGCAAGCTAGCATTTAACTCATTGTACCAACACATGAGAGATGTTGTTTCTTTCACAATCTATACCATATTATATACAAATCAAATAAAGAAATAATGTTTACCTACTTAAAAAAAAAAGATATAATTTATGTGTCTTATTTTTTGTAATATTGAATTAGAAACATTTATTTGAAGATCTAAAAATATTATTTACTGTATTATTAACTTATAGATCTTGAAAATTGTTTATTTATTTTAATTAGTAGCAGTACATAAAATATTTTTTACAAAGAATAAAAACAATTATTCAAAATAATAATTTATTAAACAATTATTTAGTAATATTATTATATGTAATGTGGTTTTGGAGAATAACCAAATTCAATTATACTGTATATAATATATAATATGGACATTATATTATATAAAAATTTGTATAATTGATAAATTTATAATATGTAATATTTTTTATTCAAGTAGATTGATATATATTAAATTTAAAATTTGTACTGTATACATGATATTGTAATTATATAAAGTAAACTGTTTTCTTATTACAATGCTTTTTCTTGTTATTAATACCTGGTTAAATAAAATTTGATAATTTGTTATGTATTGCTAATATGCTTTAATGACAATATGCTTTATAATACTGCTTTTTATTATAATAATTTAAGAGTTCTAATTTATAAAAATAACAAAATTATATTTGTGACAAAATAATATAAAATACTGTATATCGACCCACTATTATTGTAATTATATTTTATATTTGAACTACATTACATATACTGTATGTGCAGTATAATGATAAAAGTAAATCAATTAATCAATTAAGAAATATTTATAATTGCGTATAATATAAAAATGGATGAATAAAATGAACATTGGCTTTTTTCTTAAATATAATTAATGAATTATATTATACATGTAATTTGACTAGAAAAAAAACTTACATGTTTAAAAAATTTACTGTATGTATGATAATAAAATACAGTACATGTGAAATACACTAATATTGGTTTGTCACTTGGAATTATGATTTATATAAACCTGGTAAAATCTCATCTTTTGATTATCAAACGACGTATTTTTTTCCTGATACAGTACTGCAAACGACAGACTCGCCATTCATAATTTCAATTCATCCGAATTTGTATCACAAACTTTAATATGGATATTTATTTATAGTAACGATATACATACTGTGCTTGTCGGGAATTTCTCTCTCTGATCTACTGCATTTAGAACATGACAAGTACATTTTATGAAAGATTATCCGGCGATTTCGAAAAAATTTTTGAAGATAGTGAAAAATATGATGTCGTTATTGAAGTCGGTGAATTTCCCATGAACCAATCCTATGCGGCTCATTCAATAATTCTGCGTCATCGTTGCCCCTCTCTTTATAAAGAATTAAATGAAATCGCACTAGACACGAGTGATGCTAATACTATCAAAAAACCAAATATCTCCGTTAAAACTTTTAATATCATTATTAAGTAAGTCATTATGCTTCTCATAACAAGATGAATGGTGCATGAACTAATCCGATGATTCCCATTATGTAGATATATATATTCTGGTACCATCAACTTGGAAAAAGTAGAAATCTCAACAGTGGCTGATCTTCTGAATACTGCTTACGAATTTTCCCTTGAAGAATTGGTTATACATCTTCAGTCTTTTCTTATTAAAGATCATGCCTCGTGGTTACGCCTCAATTTTTCAAAATGCTACAATTTAAGTTTCCGCGATGACAGATTTAAAATGTTTCAACAGTTCTATAATGATATTATTGTAAAACATCCTCAAATGGTCTTTGATTCAGAGGAATACACTTCATTATCAGAAAATGCGTTGGCATCACTTCTTAAAAGAGATGATTTACAATTAGAAGAAGTAAAGATTTGGAGACACATCATTCAATGGGGGAGGGCACAAAATCAAGGTCTTCCGAACATTGTAGAAGAATGGAATGATGAAAATTTCAAGACTTTAGAGAATTCACTTCAAAAATGTCTTCCCCATATAAGATATTTTCAAATTCCTAGAAAAAATATCATTAAAGATTTGAAACCTTACAAAAAAATCCTACCTCCCTGTCTTTTAGATGATTTAGCACAAAAAATTATAGCACCACAATTACCTGTTTCTTCAATAATATTACCAGCTCGAAATCTTACTATTTCAGAATTGCCTACACGAGAGGTTGCCGAAAAGTCAAGTGTCATTATTCATGGACACACAGCTCGAGGTCTTACTATTTCAAAAATTCCTGTACAAGCAGTTTCTGGAACGTCAAGTGTCGCCACTTATGAATACGCAGCTCGAGGTCTTACTATTTCAGAATTTCCTGTACGAAAAGTTTCTGGAACATCAAAGGTCATCACTTATGAACACGCAGCCCAAATTTCATCCTGGATAGACAAAATCACTTATAGCGTCGAGAATAATCCATATAAGTTCGAATTATTAATTCGGGGAAGCCAAGATGGATTTGAGTATAGTAAATTTTGGGACAGGTGCAATAATCAGAATAGGTTGGTAGTAGTGCTGGAAGTTGAACAGACCGGAGAAATATTAGGCGGTTATAATCCTATTGGATGGAATAAAATGAATCTATCGTATTCAAGCACTAATGATTCTTTTATATTTTCATTAAAAACCAAGGGAACAAGTGATTCGATTATTAGTCGAGTTGTAAATCCTCAGAGGGCAATTAAAAATCTTTATAATAGACAAGGTGGCCCGACATTTGGTTTAGTTGATCTTGTTCTGGAGGGAAACTTTAGAACAGCAAGGAGTGGTTATTGTTTAAGATATGATTATGAAAAGCCGATTAGAAGTGTTACAACTCGTTTCTCCGTAAAGGAATATGAAGTTTTTCAAATAGGACCACGTACTTAAACAAAAATATATTTTTTGGATTGATTTTATTTTTTAATAAGTTATCAAAACATCCCCGATGATATACTGTAAATAATGTATACAAAAACAATAAGCTTAAGAGTTTCAATGTTAGCAATATATTATAGTTAAGGAATAAGTTAAAGGTTTAAATATTGAGATATTTTAATTGTAATATTTTGGCATCAGACGCCTCTCAAAGTGATATCGTAAATTGGGAGTCAAACTTAACTTTTTTAAAGGCTTCTACATAGCATAAATATAATGTCTTTCAGATAGGTTTTCAAAAATGTTTTTACAAAATAGTGTCGTGTATCTCTATACATAGAACCGTTATCCAACTACTGGCCTATAGACTGTCGGGGAACACACATCGAATTTTTTATAAACTTTAAATACTTCATATTCATCGACCGAAAATTTCTCTGATGTATTTCTGATTGGTACTTCATAAGATTCACATATACATTTACAATTTTTACTATTAAAGTTATTTTCCATAAAAATATCTTGTCTTGCAAATCTTGGACCATAGGCGCGACTACTGTAGATTGCTCGACTAGCTTGTCCATTTCTTAATCGGCTTATTATAGAATTCTGCTCACCATTTTTTAGCGAAAAAACAAAGCTGTTATTAGTATATAAATACGAATTTTTTTTGCTTTTCCATTCAAGCGGGTTATATCCGCCAATAATTTCGTCAGATCCGCGGATTCTCATCACTACCACTGTATTACTACATCCGTCACAAAAACGCCAGAATGCGTCACGGTCAAATCCAGACTGACTTCCACGAATAAGTAAATGAAATTCGTATGGGATTTCATCAAGGTTATACGTTTTTGAATGGCAATCCATCCAAGAAGAAATTTCAGCTGCATGTTTATGTGTAATGATGGTTGAAAATGGCGCTATTAAATCAGAAAATCCTTCTGGTTCGTTAGATTTGAACGACTTTGTGTTTGATAAATTATTGTTCAAAATGTCCCTTTCATCCGGTGAGATTTCTCCACATTGTGATTTAACTGCTCGAATCTTTCTGGGTGGTAGAATCAAAGATTTAACTTGCTCATCGGGAAACAATAATTTTTGTACCACGTCTTCCCAAATGTATTGTTGCAAAATTCGCTTATATGGTCGCATTTTCTTGAAAACATCTTCTCCGGAAATCTGAAAATATCGAATGTGAGGTAAACAACTCTGCAAAGTATTCTTCAAAGTCCGAAAATTCTCATCAGTCCATTGTTTAATTTCTGGAGGTAACGTTTTGTTTTGAAGGAATCCCCATTTAATGACATAATCCCAAATTTTTGATTCCTCCAAGTTTAAATCCTCCCTTTGGAGAAGGGGTACTAAGATGGATTCAGGTATGGATGCAAATCCATTAGATTCAAAAAGAATATTGGGCCTTGTTATGATGAGATTATTGCAAAATTTTTGTAACTTAGGGAAGCTGGTTGACTGAATGGAAATTTGGTATACATTGCACGAATTTGATTCTAGCCATGCAATTTGGTTTTTAAGTATGAATGATTCGAGATATTGTAACAATTCAGTAAGGCCATATTTATTGGCGGTAATTAAAATGTCAAAGATGGTAGATGGTTCTATATTTTCCAAGTTAACGGCTCCACTATAGATGTATCTGTTTCAAAATGTAAAAAATAAATTAATATATAAAATTAAAATTAAAATAGATTTATGCTTACTTTATGATAACTTCAAAGATAGTTGCCGAAATTTGAGTCTTTGTAACGATTCGAATATTATTTTCATTATGGTTAACCTTTTTTATTTCATCATAAAGTATGGGACAACGATGGCATAAGACAACACTGTGAACTTTAAATGATTTCGTGGCAGGCGCTTCTCCTGCTTCTATGATAACATTGTATTCATCATTTGTTTCAAGGAGTTTGACAAAATCTTGAGATAGGTTTTTAAAAAATTCTGCCGTCATTATGAAATTGTCAATCGTACACAGTCACCGCATAAAATTTTTATTTGCTTTTTTTTGCGATATTACTGTATTCACATTAATGTACTGTATTGATCTATTCAGCTAAAAAAAGTTAAATTTTGCTTTTGTGACACCTTGTATACTGTATTGCGCAAATTGCGGCAAAAGAAATCAAACCGGGAACTTGGGGGAACTTACTGCATGTCATTTCATCAAAATGTTAAAACCTATTTTAATTAACAGGGAATCCGTTCAAAAAATTGGATTTAAACTTAAATGGAGCTGAAAATTTTAAAAATAAGTATGCTTCATAGTTTGGCTTACATACGGCATACAGTATACCGTGACTAAAAAAGTCTTTGTTTCTTACAAATAAATATTATATATTACTTTCATTAAAAATAAATTATTATCTAAACCGTTATTTGACAATTTATCAATAGAAAAACTCTTGCATGTATTTTTTTAATATAATACATTGTGTCTAAAAAAATTTTTAAAAAAATAGGTTTAAAAAACAAAAAATTAAAATTAATTACAGTATTATATTTCAAATTAAAATAAAAATTTAATAAATTTAAAATAAGGTTATAAAGTTTTTTGATTGATGTATTCATTCTATTAGAAGATTTAAAAATACTATTGATATTATTATCTGTTAATACAGTTTATTTAAGAATTTGAAAATTTTAATAATGCCAATATTGTATATCAAATATTTTCAATAAATAATTTCTAAAAAATTATAATATATAAATTTAAATTTGTTAATATAAAATTTGCAAGAAATTTTTTTTTTGCTATTTGAAACTCATTAAATTTATATATTATAAAAAATTTTTAAAATTATATTAAATTATATTAAATTGTAAAAAAAAAAACTTATATATATATCTCTTCTTTTTATAAAAAATTGTTTTTTAAAAAAGTTTTTGAAAAAAAAAACTTTATCTAATAATATATATAATATGTCTTATAATTTTTGAAATTAGTTTTTTAAATATAACTCTATTAATAATTATTTAAATATTATAAAAATTTTCAATTCAAGATTATCTAAATATATTTTTATAAATTTGTTATTATTTTTATATTTAAAATTTATGTTTAATACAAACAAACAAATACTAATAAAACAAATTTGCCAAAATTTTAAATATAAGTTATTATGAAAACATAATAGGATTTTTCAAATTTTTACAAAAACATAATATTTTAAAAGTGACTTTAGTTATTACACAATGAAAAATTATTTGTTTTATATAAAATTTTATAAATTGCTTGTTTATGATCTAAATACAGTAACAAGTTTATTTAAGCTTATTTTATAAAATTTTATAATAAAAAAACTTTTTAAATAAAAAAACTTGATTTTATTTTTACTATATTATAAAAACTTATTAGTTTTATGCTTAAAATAAACCTATTTTTTAAAATTCTTTAAAAACTTTTGTCTATACTTTTTTTATAAAATAATTTAATATATGTAATTGTTTTAAAATATAAATGTTTATAATAATTTAAAAAATAAATAAATTTATATTATTTTATTTTTAAGTTTTTAAAATATTTGTAAATAAATTTCATATTTTATTTTAAGTTTTAGGCATATATTTAAATAAAATTTTATAAAATTTTAATGCTTTTTTTATTTAATTATAAGATAAAATACAAATTAAAAAATTTCAAAAAATAATAAAATATGTTATATCTATATATATATCTATATTAATAAAAAAATATTAAATATACACACCCCTACCATAATTTACCGAAAAAAATTATTATATAATTTTTTTTTTATTTTTTGACATTTTTATAATGACGTGTAAAAAAAAATTTTTTTATTAAAAAATAAAAAAATTTTTTTTTAAATAAAGCTTAAATTCTCTAATTTTAATAATTAAAATTTTAGAATTCTAATTTAATATTTCGTATGTTTGCCTTTGGCCTTTATAATTTCCTTCGTACAATTAGGCAAGCTCAAAATTAAGTGACGAATCGTATCTAAGCTAATATTTGCCCATTTATTTTGCGTCACTTCCACCAACTCTAATTTAGACTTAGGTAAAGGGTTCCTTTTGCATATTTGACAGTCCAAATGATCCCATAAATTTTCGATTGGGTTGAGGTCCGGGCTTTGCGCCACCCAATCCAGAATTCGAAGATCGTGGGTCGCCGCCTACCAAGTTGTATATGAAGATGTGTAGCATGTCATGCCATCTTGTTGAAATATGACATTTAGGTTCCCGCGAGCCCAAGGTATAAGATGAGTGGCAAGAATATTAACGTACACGTCAGAATTCATGTTTTCCGTTACTTCCACTAAGGGGCCAATTCCGTTCCAACCAAAGCAGCCCCAAAACATCACAGATCCCCCACCGAATTTAGTTGTAGGTATGATACAGTCTTCATTATATGCTTCGCCGGTCTCCCGCCATACTCTAACTCGACCATCTGAATTGAAAAGCGCGAATCTAGACTCATCAGACCATATAATATTTTTCCACTCTTCGTTCCAGTTTTTTTTTTCTCTACATTACTTTAATCATGCAATTCGCTGTTTTTTCGTTAGACGGGGCTTCCTACGTGGTACCGAGCTTTTAAGACCTATATCATGAATGTATCTACGAACTGTGTTGATATGAAAAGTGGTATTTAGTCTTGTATTTAGTCTACTCACAATGTCACCAAGAGGAGCAAAACGATCTTCATAAACAACCCATTTTAAAACACGTTCTGTGTGTTCAGAAATTTTTTTTGGTCGTCCCGACCGTTTTTTTGGCTGCGCGGTACCTTTTTTATCATAACGCTTAATAGTGTCATAGACGGTTGTGATGGGAATGTTCAACTCGGACGAAATAATTCTGAGTTTGATGCCATTTAGGTGAGCTCCAATGATACGTTCGCACTGTGCAACTGACAACGCTTTTCCTCACATGTTTATTTTGAAAAAGAGTGATCAGGACCTAATTTGGCAAACATAAAAAAATTGGATACTTATAATAAAAAAAAAATAGTGACACGTACTTGCGCAACGTGAAAAAAAAAAATTTTTTTTCGTGAAAATTAAATTTTTCGGTAAATTATGATAGGGGTGTATATATATTTCAACTTCTGCTTATACTGGAATCATAATTAGTATAACTAGAATTGCTATTAATTTTGCTTTTGTTAATGATAAAAAATGCTTTATATGCTTTACATATATTAATTTCTTGTTATTTTCTTTCAGTTTTTGATTTATTCAATTATTTTGATTAATTCTTTTTTGTTTGGACTGCTAATTTGTAGGTATTTTGTAATTCTATCTTCTATTTCTATTGTTTTTTACTAGTTATAACTCTAATTTTAATTTGAATCTCTTTTTATATTTTGTATATTGTGTATTATTGTGTCTAGTAATGTTTGTATTTTATTAAGATATTTTAAATCTAACTATAAAGCTTTGTACTATATATGGTTTTGATTACTGAAACAATTATTATTTGGTCTATTCTAATTTCTCTAATGTATTTTTCTTTTATATTGTTTCTATAATTGTATTCTTAATATCTAGCTATAGATAAGTTTTTTTCTATTTGTTTTATATATTGTATTCTGATTTTATTGTTTACTATTTTATGTCTGCAGTTTATTTTTCAAAATGTATTTGTTAATTTATTATATATACCAAGTATTTTTGCTTCTGGATATTATGGCTTGTTACTGTTTCTAATTGTAAAATTGAATTGGATCTTGTCAAGTCTGTTAATATAATTGTATATCTATTTTTTAATTGACTATATTTTTCTTTAATTTTAATAAACCATCTTAATTGTTTTCCAGTAGGTTTGTATTCTATAGCTGTCTTAATTTGTCTCCAGTTTAATATATGTATTTGTTGAATATTAATAAT